TCTACTGCCGAAGCAAAATCTATTCTTTCCTCTTGTCCCGACTGTCATATGACTCATGTCACTCGGTATTATGGTACCAACCCTAGAGGTCTTTCTGCGTTAGAAGAATGGCAAACTGATGTTACAAAAATGCCAGAATTTGGTCGCTTTAAGTATGTTCATGTTACAGTTGATACTTTTTCTCACGCAATGGTTGCTTCAGCATTCACAGGAGAGAAAACTCAAGATGCTATTCGTCATTTTTATGATGCCTTTTCTATTCTAGGTGTTCCGTGTCATGTAAAAACGGATAACGGCCCAGCATATGCTTCGCAGAAAATGCAAGCATTCTTTCGTGCTTGGGGCATTGAGCATTCAACAGGTATTCCACATGTCCCCATGGGCCAAGCAATTATTGAAAGAGCTCACGGACTTCTTAAACGTCAGATTCAAAAACAAAAAGGGGGAATGCAACAGGAGTCACCTCAAGTGAGATTAGATAAAGCTGTTTATGTGTTAAACTTCTTGCATCCCCTACCTGACTCACAGTTATCTCCAATCTTTTGCCATTTTTCTTCTTTGAATTCTAAGCAACCAAATTTCCATAGAAATGTCAAGGTATGGGTCAAGGACTTGATTACTGGTATATGGTCTGGTCCAGTGGAACTGATAACCTGGGGAAGGGGTTATGCTTGTGTTTTGACAGATAATGGTCCTCGATGGGTTCCTGCTCGCTGTGTCAAACCTTACCTAGAGCGTGCGGGAAAGGACAGGATTGATGGCTCCGCAGCTGAAGCAGAACGTGCGGATGACGCTGGCTAAGACCATATATCAGTACTTAAAGATGGATGAAGGACAGGAATGATTGTATTAAGAATGGGAATTTTGTTGATGGTTGTGATTGTGATTTTGTGTCTCCCCTCTCTGCTTGGATTTTTGCAAAGGGCCCTGCAAAAATCCATAGCAGCTGTATTTACAGGTCAAAAACAAAAAAGGGGGAATTGTGGAAGGGGCTAGCAGCGGGCCTGTTAGCTAAAGGAGCGAGAAGTAAGAAGAAGAAGCTGATAAGGAGCTTTCTCCAAGGCCGTAACCAAGGAGATCGAGAGAAGGAAGGCGTTTTTAGAAAGTTAGGTGGAGTCAGAGTAACTTTTCACCAATGGCATGGTATTGAATTATTGTGGCCAATAGCTAAGGTAGAGGAAGGGTAAACAACTGGAAAGCGTATAAAAGATCAGCCATTTTCATTAATAAACTGTTGCCAAGTGTTACCAACTGAGACTGCTTGTGGTCTCTGCTTTATGTCGTGACCGCCTCGACTGCGACAGAATGATATTCCCCGATTTAGTGTTCTCACTGAAACACTCCAAACCAGTGCCACTCACTCCCTCCCTCCTCTCTCTCTCCATGTGGCAAGCTGGAGAGGAGAATTGGAGGCACAAAAGGTAAAGACCATGAGTTAAGAACAATATATTACAAACAGCAATGAAGTAAGAACTGAACTATAACAACAACAATATTAGTAACAGAGTGCATAAGATAGGCGAATGATTCACACACAAGTGCTCACCATGTTGAACCCAGCGCTACCCTGACCATTCACTCTGACACCAGCCCAACTGGAAGGGACCCATCTCCCTCCACTTCCTGTGTATGGCATGAGGTGGTATAGAATAACCTCAGGGCCCTGGCCATGCTCCTCCTGGCTACTGCAAAAATTAACCCTGTCCTGGCTGGAACCAGGACAGGACATCATGCTGTCATAATATCGTGATCCGCTGCATGTTCCTGATAAGCACTTTGAGACTCTGTATATGGGAATACAGCTAGAAAGCAGGACGGAGAGTACTGCTCAGCTTACCAACACAGATGTGCTAACTCTGTTAGGCCACAAGCCTTGGCAAGCAGAACCCTGAAGAAGACAATGGCATGCTTGGGTGTGCTTGGTATGTTTTATGACAAACCATGCAAGACCGTACATGCCTATGTGAGTCTGTACAAAGCTATGATTAAGCAATGTTACTAAGAAATGTAAATGTTGTGATTGCTGCTATTTTTAGCTATAGCTGAAAAGGTATATATACTGAGCTTGTGGAATCAATAAATTGGCTTCATGCATGCAAACCATGGAGTCCACATCTCTTCAATTGCCAACATCTGTAGATATGAGGTGTATTATTTATCCTACATTCATGCTATGAATAGCTGAATTTGAAGGCATTATTTATTGCACACGATGCTTCAGTATAAGTCAGTCTATTGGGTCTGGTGGTAGGGGTGGAAATGTTGGGGCAAGAGAAGAAACTAAGTTTGAAGAGTCCTTCATAACCCACTGTCCTCAATTTTTGTATAACACCCTGCTGCTCCTTGACCATTGCTGCTGGACTTTATTTTGGATTTCTTATAATCACTCGGACAAATGGGAGAAGACACAAGAGTTACTTGGCATAGGAAGAAAGAGATGCATGGAGGGTTTAGAGCTCCCTCCAGACCCTTGCTGTTAAATCTGAGACTAATGCAGACCACAGTTTTTCTCCTCCTGCTGTATAATTGCTTTGGAAATAAATCAATTGGGGAAAAAAAATCCAGGCTGGGTACAGGCAATGGGCAGATATGTGTGCTGCCCAAAGGCTTTGCAGGGGATAGAAGAAAAGGAGCAAGCACAGGGAGAGATGCTGAGTTTGATATGCACCCAGAGCAGCAAGAGAAGCAAAACCAACCAGTGACGTTCTAGAATTATCTTTGGTTATGATAAATATTAATTTTCATTACTTTTTTTTGCTTATTTCCTGCTTTGTTGCCCAAAAGCCAACTTAAGGTACAGGCAGCAAGGCACAGAATCCAAGGGATATCACAGACATGAAACAAGAGCTTAATATGCCCCACAGATGGCATGGGTGTGTGAGGGAATAGTCACATGGAAACACATATTAAGGTAAGGACAGAAATTCATGGTTTCAACTCTATAGGTCCTGTCTTCAGAGGCAGAAAGATGGAGGCCCGTGTGACACCCGCTCCAGAAAGCAAACTGTGGGACTATAGTAAAGCATGCTTCTCCCAGCAGATTGTGGGCAGCTGAAGACAGCTCTGTTTCCCCATCATCCACCATTGTCATAGAATCACCTAGGCTGGCAAAGACCTCCAAGATAATCAAGTTCAACTGTTAAACTCATGGACCAGTTATCAGAGGCACTATTTTTTCTCCCCCTCCAATTTTATTGTCAGTGATGGTTTTGGAGTAAGCAGTCAACCAATGCTGCATACGTTGATAAACAAGTGTCCTGGGGTGATTTTATGATGCTTGTATCCTCATTCATCTGTTTAGCCCAGAAATAAGTTTTGCACCTTTAAGACTCATTCTGAGAGCAAAGAGGGGGAAAGAAGAAGCGCACAGTTTCTTTTCAGAAACTGCACTCACTCGTCCACATTCCTGCTCCTGGATTGTGTTGTCTGCAGCACAGACAGATGGCAGGACAGAACTCTCCTTTGCTTTCAGTTAGTTTTTAACTAGCTAAGGCAGAGATGTTCCCTGGAGTGTGGTTTTTCTTTTTCTTGGAAGTGTTTAAACTGGCTCTGGACTGAACAGCCAGAAGAGCACCAGCAGGTCGCACCTGTGGCCCACCAGGCCAGGCCTAGGCGACGGCATTTCCAGCACTGGAGGGACCGATAACAGACTGAGTGAGCCCACGGAGGGGACTTTCTGAGTTTGTCATCTCTTTTGGAATGGCAAGAGGTTTTATTGTCTAATATTGTTCTTTTTTTTCTGCTGGTGAATGCTTTGCCTGTGAAATAAACAGGTTTTTTTCCACTTTTCTCCAAGGAAATCTTTTCCCAAACCAGTTGGGGGAGGGGTCGCTTAAATCTGTTTTCTAGAGGAACCCCCTTTAGAGGTTTTCTCCCAAATTTACCCTAAACCAAGACAAAAAGTTACCCAGAATAATTAGCAAATACACAAATTATTTCAGTCTATGTTGCAATCAGAAACCAGGACTGAATCCCTCAGCCAGAAATAACCTACTCAGGGAACATGACTTAACTTGGTATCTCTGGTGCTGAAATAGACCCTCCACTGTAAGATCCTCTGAATTCTCTTCATGACATGGGGATGCTGCCACAAGCAACCCACTCCTTTCACAGATAGTGAAATGGAGGCTTTGGGGAGTTTGTTTAAATTAGCAATATGAATTAAGCATTTAAAATTTAGTTTGTAGAATTATGTGTGGAATTTTTACCTTTTATTTAAGAAACCTCTGCCATGGTAAAAAGGGCATAGGAAAATGCAAATTTCTGAAGCTTCTTGCAATAAGGGACAATACCTAGAGAAGACCAGGGAATGCAGAAACCCAGATAAAGGAGCTCCTCTGTCTCCAAGCTGATCAAAACCGACAGACGTACTCAGATAAGCACCAAGGGACCACAGCGCACGTGCAAAGGAGAAAAGTTCAAAAGTTCAATCATGATGAAGACCACAACCTTCGGCCTCAGAGACCACCAAATACTCCTGTGCGACCACCGCAGCAAACAACGCATGCTCAGAAGGGTGTGGATCTAATTACCATGTGAGGAGAGGACAGGTAAGGCCAGGGGTTGAATATGCATGAAGAGATTGTGTAATGTAATGCATATGGAACATCTTTGTGAATAACGATGTGGGGGGCACAAGCTTTCATGAGAGCTATCTCACTTGTGCCAGGCGCGACCATACATACCCACTTCATAACATCAGGTTTTGGAGTCTATTTATTCCGCATATCACTTCAATAGGCCCTGGAGTGAGATACTGTAATTACACTTACAGCTCATGAAATGGGAATGAAGAGCAACTTGACAATGCCCTCGGTGCCATGTTATCTATGGCAACCATTAAAGATGTGCACAGACAAAATTGCAGGTACACTTCTGTTCTCATCTCATCAACTGAGTTCAAAAGGAATTTGATAGCAGCTCAGCTCCTGTTCTAATGCATGCTAGGACCAGGCAGGGTGATGCTGCAGGTATCTAACCAACAAATTTTATCTCATTACCTGCAACATGTTGAGAAGTAGACTCCGGAATTTGGTTCCTTCCACCATGAAGAGGGCCATTTTGTCACAGAGCTTAGCTGCAGTGGAAGCAAAGCTGCAGTCCATCACTGCTTTCTGGTAGATGGTCTTGACTATCTCCCCCAGCATTTCCTCAGAGCTGGTAGAGTTCTGGGCCTCTTCCATGAATGTGGTGAGCTTGGAGTCAACGTCACTGCTGTTGTTCCTCATGCTATTGAGAATTTCAATTAATTTGTTCATTTTATTCTTTTCAGGATTGGTGGTTTCCACTGTGACTTCATCCTGGTCCATGAAAAGGGAAAGACAAGGCGTCTGTTACACAAGGAAAAAACAGACATATCAGTCTTTGTCCTTCCACAAACAGAAAAGAGGGAAGGGGACTGGACAAACATTTAAACAGACATAGAAAAAACAAAGCATCTTTTAGCAACACAATGGTATAATCTCAGCATTAAAAACCACAAGTAAATGAATCCTGTCCCAGAAATGCTCTTTGTCCATTTCCCACAGCACTCAATCCCAAAGTCTTCCCCCTCAGCTCAGGGAGAAGATTTCCTCAAGGGTCCTGATCCAGGATGTCAAAGTCACAAGGGGAAGAGGAGGGCCAGACCTCTTCAGTGTGGTGAGCAGTGACAGGACCCGAGGAAATGGCCTGAAGTTGTGTCAGGGGAGGTTTAGGCTGGATATTAGAAAAAGGTTCTTCACCCAGAGGGTGGTTGAGCACTGGAACAAGCTCCCCAGGGAAGTGATCACAGAACCAAGCCTGACAGAGTTCAAGAAGCATTTGGACAATACTCTCAGGCACATGGTATGACTCTTGGGGTGTCCTGTGCAGGGACAGGAGTTCGACTCAATCCTTGTGGGACCTTCCAAGTCAGCATATTCTGTGATTCTGTGATACATTTAATCATTTAAATTGAGATTAAAGATGTCACATGATCCCAGCATTTGAAAAACTCTTAAAACATGCTATATAATACAAAACTGCAACAATTTTTTGGACAACCCCAATGCCAAACAGCAGTTGGAGTTGTCCAAAACTCCCATCAGGAGGCCAATTGTGTTGACAACACCCACTCACCACCCAAGATTGAGTGCTTATGTGATGTGTTTCTTATAAGACTGTAAATTCACAGGAAGAACATTAAAATGAATAATCTAAAAGTCTCTTCTATATTGATATTGCTTTAAAGAACATAAAAATAACTAACAAAATCTCTTCCTCCCCCTCATGCCACATACATAAATAGTAAGTGCTCATGCATTCAAAGGTATACATTTCCAACATGCACTCCCATAGAGTTGTATATGTTCAAGTTATTTTTGCTACTTATTTTGGAAATGTCATTGGAGATACCCTTACAGATTAATTTTCTAGTCTGACAAAAAAAATCTCTAGAGAAAGAATCTGAGTTTTACAGGGGGCAAATAAAGAGATCTACAAATTCTTCAGAAATCTGATGCTGAATATTTTTTCAAAAAAGCATTTATCCTCTGTCACTTGCATACAATCATTTTGTTGTTGTTTAGATTATTGGAAGGAAGTGGAAAAGATAGGGTCATTTCAATTAATTGCTGAGATAAATGAATATCAACACTGAAGTAGCTGACTACAGCTATTCAGCACTCAAAAGTCAAAGCTTGGGATTTAGCTCTGTAATTGTAGAGACACAAATTGCCTTTTTTTAGACCTCTTTGCAAAGTTGATGAGCTCTGCAGACTGGAAGGCTATCAGTTGGGAGGTGTACCCACATTGTAGCTCACGTGTGAATCAGCTTTCCCCAAGGGTGTGCAGGAAAAGAGTTCCCAGTCTTTGAAGAACTCAAGCTGGTAGCAACCTCAACCAAGAAGTCAAGCTAAAAGACTTAATTGAGTGAATAAAAGGCCTCCTGAAGAAGCATGAAAACACTTTGCGAGAAGTGTTGACACTGGGAGATTAAGATGCATTGATGGAAAGTTTTCTTGAGCCCACTCCACCCTTTGTATGGAAAATAGCCAACAGCCAGACTTGGAAAAAGGGAAACTCAATGTTTCCATAAGAAATAATACCTTTTCTTTTAGTCTCCTTTGCAGCCTGTCTTTGGAAGACTGAAGCAAATTGATCTTGGGTCTTTCCCTAATGCGATCATGAATACTGTCTTTCTGCTTGGTCTCTGACTCTTGGATGTACTGCTGAGACTGCTTCTCCATATCCTCCAGGCCTCGGTGCATCTCCAAGGGAATATGAACTGCACAGATGGTGGTGTCCTTGATTTTCAAGTTCTCTGTCTCTTTGGCATTTCTGTGTGTTTCTTTGTCATTGGGCAAGTGCTTCTGGTTGTGATGCCATCTCCGGTTCTGACTGCAGCCATGGTGGCCTGTCCTACCTGAGGAGTGAAGGGCCTGGCCTCCTTGGTAAAGATTCTGGTGGTCCCTGTTGTGTTTGGTGCCACCTTGCTGATGATCTGCATGCTGCTGAGACTTGTTCCCACCAGGAAGTCTCTGCTGTCGCCTAGAAAGTCAAAGAAGATCATTAGTTCACTCTTTTCTGCATGGGCCTTTTTGGTCAACACATCTGTCCCACCAGACTGGTCCTTGGTGGGTAGGCTCTGTGGGTGTCCCTACTACAGGAAGAGAGCCAATTTCTTGACATCGAACACAATCTCACACCTCAATCTTTCAGCAACAGAGATATTTCAGCTGAAAGTTTTCATGAACAGTTAGATAACATTGCTTTGGTTACCAGGAAAATCTCTCCCAGGCTTCTGTGTTTTCTGTGTTGCTTCTATACCAAACTGGGGAATATCTGGTTAGTCCCAGCTGAGCAAGGGGAAGTCAGGCAGGCAAGAAATATCAGGAGATTTTTTTTTTTCAGAAGACTTAAGGACCTCCTGATACACCTGGCCTACAGCATCATTTGCTCCTCTTGCCTGCCCTCTCTGCTGTACTAACATAGCATACTGCTGCATGGATTTGCAATGAACCATTGAAAGCATATAAGGAATTTCTAAGTGGAAAAAAATAAGCTAAAAAGTAAATTGCCAAATAAACCAGATGACCACACTAAATGGCTTTGTTTGGCCTTTTGTAGTGAGTTGACTCCAGCTGGATGCCAGCCACCCACCAAAGCCTCCCTATCACTCCCTTCCACAACTGGACAGAGGAGAGAAAATATAACAAAGGGTTCATGAGACCAGGAGAGATCACTGAGCAAAAACTGTCACTGGCAAAAAAAGCTCAAATTAAAGATATTAATTGAATTTATTACTAACAAAATCAGAGCAGGATAATGAGAAGTAAAATAAAACCTTAAAAAAACACCTTTCCCCCTGCCCTTCCCAGCTCTACCTCCACTCTCAGCAGTGCAGGGAGATAGGGAATGGGGGTTATGGTCAGTTTATCAGGTGTTATTTCTCCGGCTGCTCAGAGAAAGGAGTCCTCCTGCTCCAACATGGGATCTCTCCCACTGGAGATAGTTCTCCATGAACTTCTCTGATGTGAGTCCATCCCATGGGCAACAGTTTTTTACAAACAGATGCACTGGGGGTCACTTCCACAGGGTGCAGTTCTTCAAGGATAGGCTGCTCCAGCATGGGGTCCTCTCTCCCCAGGGGTCACAGCCTCGTCTCAGACATCCACCTGCTCTAGTATGGGTGTCCTCCACAGGCTGTGGGTGGATTTCTGCATCCCCATGGATCTCCATGGGCTGCAGGGAGACAGATGCTTCACCATGGTCTTCACCACGGGCTGCAGAGCAATCTCAGCTCTGGTGCCTTGAGCACCTCCTCCCTGTCCTTCTTCCCTGACCTTGGTGTCTGCAGAGTTGGTCCTTTCACATGTTCTTACTCTGTTCCTCTCTGGTCACAATTACAACTGTGCCATAACTTTTTTTTCCTTCTTCTTCTTCGTCTTCTTCTTAAATATACTATCACAGAGGTGTTGCCACGATTTCTAATTGGCCCAGTCTTGACCAGTGGCACATACGTCTTTGGAGATACCAGGGGTTGGCTCTAGCTGACATGGAGGAAGCTTCCAGCAGCTTCTCACAGAAGCCATCCTTGTAGTGCACCCCCCTCCTCCCTCTCCCGCTACCAAAGCTTGGCCGTGTAAACCCAATACACCTTTCTTTACGCATGTCCTTCGTCATTGCTACACCAGGACAAGACATATGCATGAATGAAGAAGCTGAGTATCATGCTTGGCTCTGGCAGCAGAGAGTGCTAGAACCATTGCCACCAGATAGCAGGCTAAATGCATACAGGTCCAAACAGATAACATGGGAATTCAACAGCCACAAAGAGGAGGAACTGCCCGCAAATGGTTGTCTAGAGAGACTACAGTGGCTCAGAAGGGGCAAGCAAGCCCATCTGCTGGCTAGAACTGGTAGCTGAGATGATAACTCCCCCCCAAAAAACAGTTGAAAGGAAAAAACACTGACAGCCTCAGACATTTCGTATTTCCACATAGGCTGCAGCTTGATTGTCCCGAGCAGAGAAGGCAGAGACAGAATGCCATCATCAAGGATGCAACTAAGGAGGAAATTGTCTTGACATGGTGTGCTTTCACCCAGGACAGTGCAGGGTTAGCTCTAAGCAAGGCAGCACCTCCTTGCCTTTCCAATGCCTCTTTAATGCTCAGTCTTGACTCTGAGAGCATGTGAGATGCTTTAATGCTCAGTCAGATGAAGGAATTGGCCATTCACAAATACATTTCATGGTCAACAGTTGCTAACCTTGCCTGCCTAAGCCATCTGCCCATGGAATCTGTATTCCTCGGCATCCCCCGGAGTTAAAACCTATATTTGAGGCCAACTGGCTCTTAACCATAAAGCGTGAGGGTTCATAATTGGCAAACATGGGAGGAAGAGGCTTAGTGGCAGTGGCAGGAATTTGTCTTTAGTCTCAAATGACCAGAACCAGTTTTCTGAGATATTCAATGTAGGGGTTTTGTTTGGGTTGTTTTGGGTTTAGTTTTTTTTTTGTTTGTTTGTTTTTTGGGTTTTTGTTGTTTTGGTTTTTGTTTTTGTTTTGGTTTTTTTTTTTTTGTTTTGTTTTTTTTTGGTTTTTTGCAAGTTGAATGGCAGGGAATAAAAAAAAAAAAAAAAAGTGGAGGAGAAGTTTTCCTGTTAGCTGAAGCTTACAAGCAGTTTATGAGTACAGATTCTCCACATCAAGTTTTCCTGGCATTTCTTTGTTTCCTCTCAGTAACGCAATCACATAAACCATTTTGTAAAAATCAGCTCTTATTAAAAGAGGAATGTCAAATTACAAGTTAATTAAAACCTTTATCTAGTACTAAGCCTTCGCATGCTTAAGCATGCAAGTTGTGCTTTCTGTGGCTTTGCTCTTCTCTTCTCTCAAGCATCTAACTGTTTGGGTACACTTCCAGCCTTGGGTTATAAAACAGACAGACTGTTACTTTATTTAAATGGAAAATATTGCACAGAAATTATAAAAGTTGCACACAGACACAGCTTTAATTTCAGCAGAAGTAAGGGGAAATGCCTGGAAATGAGCTGGAAACCAAACTGCTGTGAATTTCTGCAAGAAATGCATGTGGGGAAAGTTTTTTCCTAAAGGCATAATGATATTATAATCAAAACTGTTTCTGTTTAATGGCTGTGAAAGAAAAAAATGTTTAAGATTAAAAAAAGCCCTAGTTAGGTCAATGTGGAGTATGCAAGATTGTTCTATTTGGGGCTTTTGTACTAGATGGAGAGAGGACAGGCAGCTCCATCCCTGTGTGGGACAGCTAAAAGGTGATATACCCATGGCAAGGGGCAGAGCAAACAGACTGAAGCTCTGCAGTCACTGACCATAGGATGGAAAACCACAGAGTTAAAAAAGTTAAGGAATAAAGATTGCAAGAAAGAAAAGGCAAAGGAAGGAGAATGGTAAACAAGGATCAATGTCTGTGACTTGGCAGCAGGCAGAGGTCTAAACAATTATCCAGCATTCAAGCAAAGACTCTCATGCTTTTATCTTCCCAACACTCCAGCAAAGAAGAAAAGCCAAGAAGGAACAGGATCTGCAGGGAAGAAGAGCCAAAGCAGGAAGAACGGGACCCAGATTGTGGGATTCACATTCTCTGAACCTGAGAACAGTAGTGAGAGAAGCAGACAAAAGAATGATCAAAACAATTCTTATCTCATTTGCTGTTCCTGTGTTGCACCAAAGTAGAATGCAATATAAAGATTGTTTACCCAAAGTAATAGTGTTTTGTTTCCTTGGCCTATCAGGGCCAAGTACATGTGCAGACTCTCGGTCAGCAGACAGTCACAAGATTCTGGGCAGTTGAGTTGGATGCTTGTGCAGATTCAGTTTAGATGTAGTGTAACATAGTATAGAATAATAAAGTATAATAAAGTAATTAATTAGCCTTCTAATAAGATAGAGTCCTCCTCATCATCTCCCCCATCGTAGGGGTCGCCCTGCTTTTACTATACCAGATCTTGAAACTTTTTTGAATGCACAGCATCGCAAAGCCTGGGAGGTTGGGATGACCTATCCTTGCTCTTACGTTTAACCAAGGTCCTGGGGACATAGAGAGCCCCAGGAAGGGATAAGTTGGTGTACCAGGGCATCTTGCCCCCCACAAGAGTTTATCTATTGTTTGTTAACTGATCAGATAACTCAAACAGGACAAGATGTCTTATAGTAAGTTATTTTGGCACCATGGAGTTAACACTGGTCCGGCATCTCCCAACTGACAATAAACATCTTACTGTTGCAGTGATATCTGGAAAGATAAGCTCGATTTCTAAGAGATGCCTCACTTTATGACTATAAGAGCAAGGGTATCTCTGTACATTATCATAATTTCTGTGGTAAGTTACATTTAACTCCTAATCAATACTATTTCTTTTGCTAGCTTTAATACAGGTACCTTGATATCGTGCACTGTTTTATGTTACGCTGTAATCTACTAGTAGTTCTTTTGAGTTTTATACTTTGGTAACTCTAATTAAGATCTTTTGTCTGTTATCTTTTGTCTGTTTAATAAATAATTATTTTTTATAAATAGACCTGATCTGCCATTACTAGAACTTGAGGGCCAGAGTGATTCCTTAAATTCAAACTGTTGCCAAAATTTGAGGCCAATGCAGGGCCTTTCTGAAGCTCCCACTCGTCCTGTGACAGTTGGGGACCAGGGCACCCCACAACATGCACCCACTGTGGGTTGAATTGATGGTAACAACCTCATGCTTGTTCAAGGGCAGGAATGTAGGAGCACAGATGGCAGCTTGGGGTGACATGCCAAGCTTAGGAAACCAAACAATGTAGCAATCCAGAGACACTTTCCAACCCAGGCTTTTAGGTTGTGATGCTGAAGGGAAGAACAACTGAAGCTTGAATCACACAGTAACATCTCCAAGAAAAGCAAGAATTCACCGCATAAAAAATGCTGCAGTTACTGGGAAACCCTTCTTCTGTCCCTCTCTGCTCATCCTTTGGTGTAAGGACACAGTGCCTTGTGGGGAACTCTACTTCAGCTAGAAGAAAAAGTATGTAG